CCACTCCGGCGCCCAGGGCCGCTCACCGCTGCCCTTCTTGGGGCCCCGCATACCCAGCTCGGCCGCCATCTCGGCCGGCTGCCGGGACAGTGCCTGCAGTTCCTTCTCGTTATAGCGCATGGCGCCGCCGCGACCCAGTACGCGGAGCGCGGGCCGCTCCCTCCCGGCCGCCCTCCCCGCTAGCGCCGCCGCCGGCGCCAAAAGCGTCCCACCGCGCCGTCCCGGAAGCGCAGCAGCAGCAGCTATCACGCCTGCGCGCTCCTGGGTCGCTCAGCCTGTCAATCACCGGCGGGGGGCCGTAGCGCCCCGGGGCCTCGCAGAGCCTTCGTGGGGCGCACAGGATAGTGGGCAAGATGGGCAAGATTGTTATATATAACAGTGCAGTAAGGTGGGCCCGCGGTGGGAGCGGAATAAAGTACCCCCACGACCGGAGGCGCCCTTTGCTAAAGTGAACGGAGCAGGCTTGAGGAAGGGAAGGACGCAATTCCCCATCCCGCGAGATCTGGCTCCGTGAGAATTAGGCCGAGCGGGAGAATGGTGAGAGCCGGCACGCATGCGCACTTCGGCTTCCGGCCTGCGTTCTTCCTTTCCTGGAGCCTCCGGAGCAGGTAGCCCGCGCCGCTGGGCGGGCCAGGCATGCGCACACGGAAATCCCCGCCCCGCCTGCCCTCGGAAGTGCTTTCTTAGCCACTGGCGCGCTTGCGCAGAACGAGGTCTTCGTGGCGGCGGTGGCGGCTGAATAGGCTGCGGCCGTGCTTTGGTGGGTGCGGGTTCGGAGCGGCGCCGGGCGAGGGCGGCGACCTCCGGGGGATTCCCTGGAGGGGGATTGGGGCGAGGGGGGGGCCTCGGCGGGAGCGCGGGCTGAGGGCGGGTGTCCGGCTCTGGGTAGGCCCGACGCCCCGCCCGCTCGGAATTCCGGCTGCAAAGGCCCGTTGGGTCGGGTCGGGGTGGGCGCTCCCGCGGCCCGGAGACTCGTCGATTGGTTCGCTGGCTCTGTGGGCCGGGACCCGTCCTAGGTCCTGAGGGGTGGGGGCGACGGCAGCCCTGGTGCCAGGCCCAGTAAGAAGTAAGGAAGGTCCGGGGCGGAGCGCCCGGCAGCGTGCCCGAGGCCAGCCGAGCCCGTTAGCTGGCCCCGTTTTGCAAGCGAATCCCGGAGGTTAAGTGACTTCCCCGCCTGTCACACTAGGTGCCCGGCCGCTCCTCCCTTCTGTCGATTGGCAGCTCTGAAGGCCCGAAAGAGCTCGTAAATAGCATAGTTCTTTCTGGATGTGTGGGTTTAGACGTGGGCTGACTGCCGTGATTAGTGAGGTTTCGTTTGTGCCTCCCACCCACCCGCTCCAACCTCACCGTGCGATTCTGTGTCATGAGCTTTAGTCAAACCTCTCATGCTGTGTTGTAGGGCTGGAAGTACAGTTCGCTGCCCAGGCGGGTAGTGTGTTCAGCTCAGCCGCTTTTCTTGTACGGTTCTCACACACACGCACACACCCCGAAACAATTAATTTCTTCACTTTTCCTGTTAGCCTGACTTCCTTTGCCTGTTGTTAGTTTTTTTTCCTCAAAGCATCATCACCTCACACACTGATCAGTTGTGTTTTTCCCACAGGTTTAAACAAATGGATGACTTTTCCCTTTTCCCCGTAGAAACTCCCTCTCAAAACTAGCATACCGCTGCTCACGTTGGGACTGGAGCCCCACCTTGCATTTGAGTAGCTGTCCTAGAACCTTCTGTCTGTGTTCCTCTCGGCTAGCTCCTGTCTTCAGTCTGACCATCTGCTCCCCTTCCTCCTTTCCTTCCATCAGAACACGTCAGGTAGCTTTTGAAAAAGTCAACTCATTTATTTGAGCCCTGGATTAGCTGGAAATGGCTTTATTTACCATCACAGTAAGAGGTTTGGGTGTAAAATTCTAGGTTGGAAATCCACAGTGGGAATTGTGAAAGCATTATATGCTCACTGAAGAGTTTGATCCCATTTTGGTTTCTGATTTTCTTTATGTCTAGAAGAATCTGAAGATTTTCCTTGGTGTTGTAAAAGTTCTTGGTCCATAAAGTTATCTGAGAATCTTTTTCTTTGCTCCTGTGTGAAGAATGGTGCTTTTCAGCCCTGGGATACTTTCACTTCTTTGACGATGTTCTTACATCATTCCTTTGACAGTCCTCTCCACATTTCTTTCTGTTTTCAGACCAGAATTCCTAGGTTCTTGCTTTTCCTCCTGTTGTCTTGTGGTTGCTTTTGGTTTTCATTCTTCTGTTTTCTTTGATGAAGCTTTGTTGCCTCTGAGTGCTCGGACGCAGTTTTTTGTTCTGATCCTCACATCTTTGATTTTAAAGGGTTCGTCTGGTTTTAATTCGCCATGTTGACCTTTGACATCCAGTTCCAGTTTCACGATGCAGTAACACTAACTAATCCATCTTCTATTGAGGTTTCTATCGGGCTTCACTTTTCTCTGACACGTGCGAGTCTTTGTGTCTCTTTGTGTGAAGTTACCTGTGTTTCTCGTCTAGTGAGCTCAGGGGGCCTGGCAGGGGCTGAGTTTCTTGAGGGGTGTGGGGCACCCCTAGCTGGGAGCTCTAGCTGGGTCTCCCACCTCTTGTACGGGGTCAGGGGGCTGCCTGCTATTCAGCTGGCAGGTTTGGATGGACTGGCCCTCTTCTCAGCCTGGCCCTCACCCCGGCCTGCCTTGACCCAGGATTCCAGTTCCTGTCCAGGGAGTCAAGGCGCTGGGCACGTGCCCTCCTCCCTGTGCTGAGCTCTCATTCCGGGGGCGGTGCAGCCAGAGCAGGGGCCCACGTGTTCAGGGGGCTGCAGGTGACCAGCACTTTGCGTTCCCATGGTTGCTGGGCTTTTCTGTCACTTGGTGAGGGATTAAATATTTGAATCTGGGTTTCCTGAGCCCATCAGGTTCTCTCCACAGGTGCTTTTCGCAACTCCTGTGGTGCATGTTTCCCAGCTTAGAGCCAAAGCCTGTTCCGGCTGTTTCAGAGAAGCTGGGCTCACCCCTAACTCGCTGGGACTCTTGGCCCTGTTGACCTTTTGCCTTCTGAGTCTTCCTCAGCTCCGCCCAGCTGCTGGGCCAGTAGAATGTGCTGGAGATGTGGCTGATGTGTGATTGCAAACAAGGGCACCCGACTAGGCCGTGGCCCAGAAGTTGTGCCACTGGGCGCCTCCCGGAGGAGCAAAGCGGGGGCTCTCCCCGAGCCCCGGCCCTCACTGGGCGACAGCTGTCTTGACACGCGTGACCTGTGTCCTGCTGTGGATTTGCTTTGCATTCCCTTGATGACAGTGACTGTGGTGGGCACCTTGTCGTGTGTGTGTGTCGCCAGCTGCAGAGTCGATGAAAGCACTGCCAGTAGGTTTTCAGTATTGGGGTCACGCCATCCTCTCAGGCCCCAGGTAGGTGGGGGGAAGTCAGTGTGGACCCTGGGAAAGGCAGCTCGCAGGCACCTGGGCTGAGCTGCGGGCAGACGCAGAGCCCCACGAGCACCCTGTATGCTCTCTCCTCCCCCAACCCGGAGAAGCCGAGGCTCCTATGGGAAAAGCGAGTCTTCCCCAGCAGGTGCGGGCGGTGCTGGGGCCGGCAATCAGCCTGGCAGAGAGCGTCCTGCACGCTGGCGGCCCTGGGTGCACTTTTCCCTGGTCTCACCGAGCATGATGGGCAGCGAGGGCTGGCCTTCTGGTGTCGTGGCCTCCTCCTCATGTTGACTTGGTCTTTGTTTTATGAGGTCGACCCTGCCGTCTTTCCTACCTCACCTGGCAGAGTTTGAGTTGGCAACTCTGGACAGACTTGGTGAGATAAAACTTCTGACCCTGTGGTTCTACAGCCAACTGGAAGGTCTCTCTACTGGCTACCAGTGGGGAGGTTCGCTGGCACAGCTGGCCTGTGCCTGGACTGTTACTTTCCCGTGGCTGGTGTAGCAAAGCAGCACAAACCTAGCTTAAACAGCAGCAGTTTATTACGTGACTCGAGGTCAGAAGTTCAGCATGAGTCTCACTGAGCTTTACTCCTTCCGGAGGCTCCAGGGAGAAGCGGCTCCTGCGTCTTCCAGCTTCTAGAGGCGCCGCGTCCCTGGCTCGCGGCCCCTCCCTCCATCCTCACCTCCAGCAGTGCAGCATCCCCCTTCTCTCTCTGACTCTGACCTCCCGCCTCCCTCTGATGAGGACCCTGTGAGGACACATTGGCCCCCTGGGAATCCAGGGTCACCCCCATCCCAGCGGCCTTAATCCCTCCTGCAAAGTCCCCTCTGCCCCGTGACGTGACAGGTACAGGCGCCCTGGGGATTGGGATAGGGACATCTCTGGGGGGTCACGTTCACTCCGCAACACCATCCCTGTGAAATTAACCCCACAGAGTCAAGATACCATGGGTTTAAACCTGGGGCGGGGCCAGTGTGGATCAGTGAAGAAGAGAGTATAAGATGAGAGGAAGGTCCCTGGGGGCAGCTCTGAGCTGAGCCTGAGCGTGGGAAGCCGTAGCTGGCTGGGTGTCGAGGGTGTGGAAGGGGACATTGAGCTCTTAGGGGAGCCTTCCTCAGCCACAGCCGAGTCTGGAATGTCAATCGTGTGCGAGGCCGTGGGGGTGGCTGGGAGGTGGATACATAGACAGGTGACATGTTCCTTGTCTCCAGCAAGTTTACAGCTGAGCCAGAGGAATGGAACTTAGGTTGGGAGAAGGGAGTGTAGACAAGCAGGAAGGGAATTTAAAGGACAGAGCGGACACCATGGGCTGGGCAGTCTGGGAAGGCTTCTTGGAGGTCAGGCTAACTAATGAGAACTGGGCTTCATCTTCCCCGGGGTTTTTTTGCTTTTTTTTTTTTTTTACCTTTTTTTTCCGTTGAAGTGTAGTCGGTTATAGTGTGTCAGTGTCTGGTGCACAGCATGATGTCCCGGTCGTGGGTATGTATACATACATTCATCCTCTTCATTAAAGGTTACTTCGAAGTAGTCGATACACTTCCCTGTGCTATACAGAAGAAATTTGTTTTTTATCTCTTTTTTATATAAATGGTTAACATTTGAAAATCTCAAGCTCCCAAATGTATCCCTTCACACCTCTTTTCCCCCGTAACCATAAGATTGTTTACCATGTCTGCAAGTGTGCTTCTGTTTTGTAGATGGGTTTTTTGGTGTCCTCTTTTTTCTTTTCTTTCCTTTTTTTAAAATTTTTTTTAGATTCCACACATAAATGATATTGTGTATTTTTCTTTTTCTTTCTGGTTTACTTCATTTGGAATGACAATCTCTAGGTTCATCCATGCTGCTACAAATGGCATTTTATTCTTTTTTATCACTGAGTAGTACTCCGTTGTGTAAAATATACTACATCTTTTTTATCCAGGTGTCTGTTGATGGACATTTCCTGTTGCTATTTTGGCTCCCTGGGCCTTTGCACCCCTCAGACTAGAGGGACTGCTCTCTAGTGCACCATCACGGTCACCTAGAGACTCCCTGTTTAGCCTTATT